CTAATTTCCGTTCAGTTACGTATTGCTGCTACATCAACCCGACACCGCTGCCCCCTGCTGTGTCTCATGCAGCTTCTGTGTGCCCTTTGCATCAACTGACACCGCTGCACCTGCTGTGGTTCCCTGTGGTAGTATCTGTCCATATATTTGGTGTTGTCATTCTTGCTGCAGCTGTTGCTCTGTTGTTGCTGTTTTGTCTGTGTCAGCTGTTGTGTACCGCTTATGTTTGGTGTCTTGGCTGCAACAGTACTTATCACACACACACACACACACACACACACACACACACACACACACACACACACACACAGTACTTCAGCTCAGAACCAGTAAGCAACAGCTGACGAGTCTCACCTATGTTCTCAAGCCTCCCCTCTCTCCCTCTTCTTCTCACCTCCTTCTCCCCTTCTCCTTTCCATTTCTCACCTCCTTTTCTCTCTCCCTCTTCCCTTTCTCACCTCCTTCTCTTCCCTCCGTCTTCCACCTTCTCTCCTCTCTCCTCCCCTCTCTCTCTCCCCTCTCTCTTCCCCTTCTTATCCATTCCCTCTCTTCCCTTCTTCTCTCCTCTTATCTCTCTCTCTCATTCCTCTCATCACTTTGTCCTTCTCTCTCCTCACTCACTCTCCTGTTATTCTCCTCATTTCCTATTCCCAATTCTTCCTTCCTTCCTCTCCCCTCTCCTTCCCCCTCCCTCCTTTTTTCCCCTCTCTCCTACATCTGTTCTTCCTCCTGTCCTCTTCCTCCTCACATCCCTTTTCTGTCTTTCTCCTCCTTCTCCTCTCTCCTCATTCGTCTTCTTCAATCTCTCTCCCATTTTCCCTCCTCCTCTTCTTCATTTACCCTCTTCTATCTTCGTCTTCTTTATAACTTCCCCTTCTTCTTCTTCTTCTTCTTCTTCATCTTCTCCTCCTCTTATCTTCTCTTCTTCCTCCTCCTCCTCCTCCTCCATCTCTTCCTTCTCCTCTTCCTCCTCCACCATCTTCTCTTCTTCCACCCCTAGGGCTCCACCCCCCTGAGGGCTCCACCCCCTGAGGGCTCCACCCCCTGGGGGCTCACACCCCTGAGGGCTCCACAGGGCTCCACCCCTGGGGCTCCACTCCCTGAGGCCTCCACCCCTGAGGCTCCACCCCCTGGGGGCTCCACCCCTGAGGGCTCCACCTTGAGGGGCTCCACGCCCCTGAGGGCTCCAAGCCCCCTGGGGACTCCCCCAGGCTCCACACCCCGTGGCCCACACCCCTGAGGGGCTCCACCCCCCTGAGGTTCCCACGCTCCCTGGGGCTCCACCTGAGGGCTCCACACCTGGGGGCTCCACACCCCCTGAGGCTCCACACCCCCCTGGGGCTCACCCCTGGGCTCCACCCCTGAGGCTCCACCCCCTGAGGGCTCCACCCCCTGAGGCTCCACACCCCCTGAGGGCTCCACCTGGGGGCTCCACACAGGGCTCACACCCCCAGGAGGCTCCACCTGGGGCTCCACACCCCCCTTGAGGCTCCACCCCCCTGAGGGCTCCACACCCCTGGGGCTCCACCCCTGGGGGCTCCACACACCCTGATCCCACCCCTGGGGCTCCCCTGGGGGCTCCACACACCCCCTGGGGCTCCACACCCCCTGGGGGCTCCACCCCCTGGGGCTCCTGAGCTCCACCCCTGAGGCTCCACACCCCCTGAGGGCTCCCACCCCTGAGGGGCCTCCACCCCTGAAGGCTCCACACCCCCTGACGGATCCACACACCTGAGGGCTCCACCCCCAGCGGCTCCACACTCCCCTGAGGGGCTCACACCCCTAGAGGCTCCCACCGCCCCCTGAGCTCCACACCACCCCTGAGGGCTCCCACCTCCTGAGGCTCCACACCCCCTGGGGCTCCACAACTGACGGCTCCCTCCCCTGGGGGTCCTCCACAGGGCTCCACCTCCCTGAGGGCTCCACCAGGCAGTAAATCAACACAGTGAAACACATCCATTCAGCTCCAGGGAATTTTTATTTCCATGTTTTTAAATTCAGTTTGTAAACTAGAGATCCTTCTTCCTCTCCTCCTCCTCCTCTGTACGAGACAGGTGTGAGGCAGGTATTTAAGACAAATGTACAGAGACAGGTGTGAGAGGCAGGTATTTAAGACAAATGTACGAGAGACAGGTGTAGAGGCAGGTATTTAAGACAAATGTTACGAGACAGGTGTGCGAGGCAGGTATTTAAGACAAATGTACGAAGACACGTTGTGAACGAAGGTGTGCGAGACAGAAATTTAAGACAGGTGTAAAGTGTGGTTTACGGGACAAGTGTTTAAGACAAACAAGTGTACGAGATAGGTGTTTAAGACAGGTTTACAGTTTGCGGGACAGGTGTGCGAGACAGGTGTGCGAGACAAATGTTTAAGACAAATAAATATTTAAGACAGGTGTGTGCGAGACAGTTATTTAAGACAGACAGGTGCTTAAGACAGGTTGACGAGACAGGTGTACTAGACGTATTTTGAACATGTGAGACAGGTGTGCGAGACAGGTATACATAACTTACAACTCTGACCTACTTAAACCAGCTGAAATTACCTTGTCAGAACCATTGTGGGGAAACTGATTATAGTTTCGAGATTTCACCCCCCTTTTTTTAGACTTTTGGAGGTAATTGGGTGAAGTGTAGCATAAACAGGTTCACAACTTGTTATTTATGTCTTTTGGGAGGCTGTTGGAGGTGTTTGGAGGTAATGGAGGCTGGACTGGTCGTTGGAGGTGTCGTTGTTAATTTATTTTAATTTTTGAGGAATGCTATGGTGTTTGAGGGTGAGGAGGATTCTTTGGAGGAGGATGTTGATCGTTGAAGGGGGAGGAGGAGAATGATGGTGGTGGTGGTTTTGGAGGAGGAGGAGGAGGTGATGGTGGTGGTGGGTTGTGAGGGAGGAGGAGGTGATGGTGGTGTGGTGGGTTGTGAGGAGGAGGAGGTGATGGTGGTGGTGGGTTGAGGAGGAGGAGGAGGTGATGGTGGTGTGGTGGGTTGTGAGGGAGGAGGAGGAGGTGGAGGTGAGAGTTTTTGGAGGAGGAGGAAGAAGTGTTGATCTTGGAGAAGCATAATAAAGACATAAGACGGACCACGATATCTCTGGCCTAAACCACTGTGGGATCACGGGGCAAGAGAGAGAGAGAGAGAGAGAGAGCACCAGACATTCAGCTTGTCATGGTTTGTTTATATCAGGAGTTGGTCTCTCTCTCTCTCTCTTTTTTTTAAAATCTAACGAAGTCATCCACCGGACAGTAGGAGTCTCAGTACATACTCGACGCCATCTTGGTCATGAAGTTACATAAAGACACATCGGATCCGTGCTCGTATCTGGCCTCGGCAAAGTTTATCGTAGTAATCTGTGAGAATCCGGCCGCCAGCTGTCATCTAAATCTCCCTCAGGGTCTGGCCAGTGGTTTAGTAATCTTAGTTGGGAAGCCAAACCCAGCCATACGAACACTGTGTTTATATTAAGTCAATTTCTTTTTATTCTGAAGCCACAAACCAGTGATACGAACACTGTTTATAATGAGTCAATTTATTTTTTATTCTGAAGCCGCAAACCGCAGATAAATGTTCATCTTAACTTCAGAAAGCCTATACGAACACGTTGTTTATACTATAATTACATAGATGGTAATTATAGTTTTGAAACCACTAGCCACGGATGCGAACACGTGTTTTACATTATTAACAAACGATAATCTTTTCAAACCACAAACCCACTGATACGAACACAATGTTTATGTTATGAATATTATTATTGAATTTCCTTTATTAGTGTTGTTGTTGTTGTTCATGTATTTCATATTACTGCACACACACACACACACACACAACACACACACACACACACACACACACACACACACACACACACACACACACACACACACACACACACACACACACACACACACACACACACACACACACACACACACACACACACACACACACACACACACACACACACACAGAGGTGGTTGTTTGTCCTGTTTAGTAAAATCTGAAGAATTAAGCGTAATCTGGAAGAAATGAGAATATCAAGGTTCTCTTATGTGAGGCTTTAGGGGTGAGGCCGGGGTCTTATATACTGAGTGTGTTGCCAGGCAATGCTCTAATGATGATGGTTGATAAACGTAATAGTAGTAAGAGTTAAGTAATAAACCAACAACAATACTACTACTACTACTATACTACTACTACTACTACTACTACTACTACTACTACTACTACTACTACTACTACTAATAATAATAATAATAATAATAATAATAATAATAATAATATAACAGTCTGGTATAGAGATAAATCAATGCTTAACAAAACCTGGATTTAAATATAGTTAACTGGATATAACAATGAAAAAAATATTTATATCCTAACTAGAAGAAATTACTTAAATAAAAAATGTAATGGATCGAAATTTTGTTATATATTTTTAATATTCAATTACAGTTGATGATATAAAAATGAAGAAAATAATGAAAAATGTTGGAATCCAAATCAGTAAATTGTTCAGTTAAAAATGAACGAACAAAAGAATTTGAAAATATGCGGTTATTCAATTATTAAAAAATATATATATCATAAATTTGACGATTCAGTAAATATGGTGAATTTAAATCGGTTTTTTTTTTGTATTTCTGAAACAAACAAATAAATAAAAAAAATAAAGAACCTCGAGGATAGAAATTAAATAAACAACCACAAAACCAACAAATTTAATCAACACTTAAAAAAAAAAAAAATAAATGAATAAAAAATGAAAAAATCAACTGGGACGTGAGGATGAGAATTGAATAAACAAAAACAGTAACAACAATTTATTCCTTCAAAATAAACAAATGAATAAGAAAAAAATAATAATTCTTCACTGAGCAAAAGAAAACGTGGCGGTGTGTGGGTGAAGAAAACGGAGTTGGATTCACCGCCTGACACCACCAAATAGAGAAAGAAAGATGTGGGAATGAATGAGAGGAGAATGAAGGCAATCAATCAAAAGTCAAGTAAAAGTTAGAGGAATTTTTTTTTTTTTTTAAGGATTATCTGACGGGAACTATGATGGAAGGCGAGGAGGGAGGAAGGGTAGAGAGAGAGAGGAGGAGAGGAGGAAAGAAAGGTGGTTGAGAAGGAGGAAAAGAGGGACGGTGAAGAATGGGGGGGAGGAGGGGGAGGTAGAGGTAGGGAAAGGATGGTTGAGAAAGAGGAGGAAAAGAAGGATGGTGAAGGAGGAGGGGGAGAGGGAAGAGTGTGGGAGGGAGAAAAGAGGGGAAAATAGGATGATAGAGGATGGTTGAGAGAGAGAGTAAAGAGATGAATGGACGAGAGAGAACAAAGGAGAAACGAATAAACGAGAGAGAGAGAGAGAGGAGAGAGAGAGCAGTGGTCGGCCAGGTGTGAAGTCCAAGTTTTCCTAAAATATTCCTGGTTTTTCCTGAGTCAAACCGGAGGACAGGTTTCCCTCCCAAGATGGATGTATGTATGTATGTATGTATGTTATGTATGTATGTATGTATGTATGTATGTATGTATGCCAAATCATGTTTCGTTATAATAGAGGCTGGATGAAAATTAAGGACACACACACACACACACACACACACACACACACACACACACACACACACACACACACACACACACGTCAGCTCCCGGGTTTGTACACATACTCTCTGAGGGGTGACACTGAGTCCCAGAAGCCTCATAGCCCCAGTGAAGCCTTGTCAGCGCTAGTGAAGCCTTGGCTCTAGTGAAGCCTTGTCAGCAAGCGCTAAGTGAGCCTCGTAGCTCTAGTGAAGCCTCGTAGCCCTAGTGAAGCCTCATGTGGCTCTAGTGAAGCATCGTAGCTCTAGTGAAGCCTCTGTAGCTCTAGTGAGCCTCGTAGCCCAGTGAAGCCTTGTGGCTCTAGTGAGAGCATCGTAGCTCTAGTGAGCCTCGTAGCTCTGGTGAAGCCTTGTAGCCTGAGTAGCGAGCCTTGGCGCTAGTGAGCATCGTAGCTCTAGGGGTGAAGCATCGTACCCCTCTAGTGAAGCCCCTTTGTGCCCTAGTGAAGCCTCAGCGCTAGTGAAGCATCGTAGCTCTAGTGAAACCTCGTAGCTCTAGTGAAGCCTCGTAGTTCTAGTGAAGCTTGTAGCTCTAGTGAAGCTTGTAGCTCTAGTGAAGCATCGTACCCCTAGTGAAGCATCGTAGCCCTAGTGAAGCCTTGTAGCCCTAGTGAAGCATCGTAGCTCTGGTGAAGCCTCGTAGCTCTAGTGAAGCCTCGTAGCCCCAGTGAAGCCTTGTAGCGCTAGTGAAGCATCGTAGCTCTAGTGAATCCTCGTAGCTCTAGTGAAGCCTCGTAGTTCTAGTGAAGCTTGTAGCTCTAGTGAAGCTTGTAGCTCTAGTGAAGCATCGTACCCCTAGTGAAGCATCGTAGCCCTAGTGAAGCCTCAGCCCAGGCGAAGCCCTCGTAGCTCCAGTGAAGCATCGGCTCCAGTGGCCTGCAGCTCTCAGTGAGCCTCGTAGCTCTAGTAGCTTATCGTACCCCTAGTGGTGCCTCGTAGCCCTAGTGAAGCCTCAGTGCAGCCTCATGCAGTCCAGTGAAGCCTCGTAGTTCTAGTGAAGCTTGTAGCTCTAGTGAAGCTTGTAGCTCTAGTGAAGCATCGTACCCCTAGTGAAGCATCGTAGCCCTAGTGAAGCCTCGTAGTCCTAGTGAAGCCTCCAGCCAGAGTTTGCGATCACTAAAGTATAAAAACAACGCCACTACAAACAGATGACTGACGTGCGTTCGACCGAATTAACAACAAAAAAGTTTATCATTAAACACTAAAGAACGAGCGCCAGGCGATGTTGTTTGCCCGCACTGTCGTAGTTAGTTCGTTGTGTTGATATACCTCAACTTAAGGCAAAAAATATTTACTTAAGATAATTTATTTCACAAGTAAAGGGAAAAAATTTACTTACGATCTTTTGAGAGTATGGACA